GTGTGCATTGAACTGGGAGTTACTGGGAGTTACTGGGAGTACTGGGAGCCATCCCCAGGCGGTTCCGGTCCACCCACTCGTCCAGGCGCCGGTTAACTGGGACAACTGGTGTGAACTGGGAGCACTGGGACACCCCCAGTCCATCCCCATCCATCCCATGGGTCCCAATCCCTCCAGTTTGGGGTTAACTGGGAGCACTGGGACTTACTGGGAGCACTGGGAGACCCCCAGTCCATCCCCAGTTCATCCCAGGGTGCCCAAATCCCCATGGTGTGCATTGTACTGGGAGTTACTGGGAGTTACTGGGAGTTACTGGGAGCACTGGGAACCCTCCCAGTTCATCCCATGGGTCCCAATCCCCCCAGTTTGGGGTTAACTGGGAGCACTGGTGTGAACTGGGAGCACTGGGAACCCTCCCAGTTCATCCCATGGGTCCCAATCCCCCCAGTTTGGGGTTAACTGGGAGCACTGGGAGCACTGGGAACCATCCCCAGTTCACCCCAGTTCACCCCGTCCTGTTAGGTGCCTTTAAATCCCCATGGTGTGCATTGAACTGGGAGTTACTGGGATTTACTGGGAGTTACTGGGAGCACTGGGAGCACTGGGAACCCTCCCAGTTCATCCCATGGGTCCCAATCCTCTCAGTTTGGGGTTAACTGGGACAACTGGGACTTACTGGGAGCACTGGGAGCACTGGGAACCATCCCCAGTTCACCCCAGTTCACCCCGTCCTGTTCGGTGCCTTTAAATCCCCTGGATCTGCTGTGAACTGGGAACACTGGTTTGAACTGGGAGCACTGGGAACCATCCCCACCCATCCCATGGGTCTCAATCCCCCCAGTTTGGGGTTAACTGGGAGCACTGGTGTGAACTGGGAGCACTGGGACACCCCCAGTCCATCCCCAGTTCACCCCAGTTCACCCCGTCCTGCTCGGTGCCTTTAAATCCCCATGGTGTGCATTGAACTGGGAGTTACTGGGAGTTACTGGGAGCACTGGGAACCCTCCCCACCCATCCCATGGGTCCCAATCCCCCCAGTTTGGGGTTACCTGGGAGCACTGGTTTGAACTGGGAGCACTGGGAGCCATCCCCATCCATCCCATGGGCCCCAATCCCCCCAGTTTGGGGTTAACTGGGAGCACTGGGAACCATCCCCAGTCCATCCCAGTCCCCTCCCAGTTTGTCCCAGTCCATCCCAGTTTGTCCCAGTGCCCTCCCAGTTCATCCCAGTTTGTCCCAGTCCATTCCCAGTCCATCCCAGTTTGTCCCAGTGCCCTCCCAGTCCATCCCAGTTTGTCCCAATCCCCTCCCAGTCCCTCCCAGTTTGTCCCAGTGCCCTCCCAGTCCCTCCCAATCCATTCCCAGTCCCCTCCCAGTTCTCCCAGTCCATTCCTATTCCATCCCAGTTTGTCCCAGTCCCCTCCCAGTCCATCCCAGTCCCCTCCCAGTCCGTCCCAGTCCCTCCCAGTTTGCCCAGTTCACTCACAGCCCACGTAGTGCACGTAGAACTCCTCGCGCGCCTCCTGCTCGTTCAGGCGGGACTGGATCACCTCAGCCGAGTCTGGAACAAACTGGGATTGACTGGGATATACTGGGATATACTGGGAATGGGGCTGGATCACCTCAGCCGAGTCTGGAACAAACTGGGATTGACTGGGATATACTGGGATATACTGGGAGGGACTGGGAATGGGGCTGGATCACCTCGGCCGAGTCTGGAACAAACTGGGATTGACTGGAATATACTGGGATATACTGGGAATGGGGCTGGGACAAACTGGGATCGACTGGGAGGGACAGGGAAGGGAATGGAACAAACTGGGATTGACTGGGAGGGACTGGGATTGACTGGGAGGGGAACGGAACAAACTGGGATTGACTGGGATGGACTGGGATTGACTGGGAGGGACTGGGATGGGACCAGTATCAAACTGGGAATGGACTGGGACCAGTTCCCATTCCCCCCACCCCATCCCCAGTTCCCCCAGTATCCCACTCCCAGTTTGCCCAGTATAACCCTCCCAGTTTGCCCAATATAACCCTCCCAGTTTACCCAATATAACCCTCCCAGTTTACCCAGTATCCCACTCCCAGTTTGCCCAGTATAACCCTCCCAGTTTACCCAGTATCCCACTCCCAGTTTGCCCAGTATAACCCTCCCAGTTCACCCTGTTTGCCCAGTATAACAACCCCTGTATGCCCAGTATAACCATCCCAGTTTGCCCAGTATAACCATCCCAGTTTGCCCAGTATAACCCTCCCAGTTTGCCCAGTATAACCATCCCAGTTTCCCCAGTTTGCCCAGTTTAACTATCCCAGTTTGCCCAGTATAACCATCCCAGCTTGCCCAGTATAACCCTCCCAGTTTGCCCAGTTTAACCCACCCAGTTTGCCCAGTATAACCCTCCCAGTTTGCCCAGTTTAACCCACCCAGTTTGCCCAGTATAACCCTCCCAGTTTGCCCAGTATAACCCTCCCAGTTTGCCCAGTATAACCAGTATAACCCTCCCAGTTTGCCCAGTATAACCCTCCCAGTTTGCCCAGTTTGCCCAGTATAACCCTCCCAGTTTGCCCAGTTTAACCCTCCCAGTTTGCCCAGTATAACCCTCCCAGTTTGCCCAGTATGACCAGTATAACCCTCCCAGTTTGTCCAGTATAATGATCCCAGTTCTCCCAGTATAAAGATCCCAGTTTGCCCAGTACAAGGATCCCACTTTGCCCAGTATAACCCTCCCAGTTTGCCCAGTATAACCATCCCAGTTCCCCCAGTTTACCCAGTATAACCCTCCCAGTTTACCCAGTGTAACGGTCCCAGTTTGCCCAGTATAACCAGTACAACCCTCCCAGTTTGCCCAGTATAACCAGTATAACGCTCCCAGTATCACTCACGCCAGCTCCCGTCCGCCCTCCGGCACAGATACTCATCCCAGTTTGCCCAGTATAACCAGTATAGCCCTCCCAGTATCACTCACGCCAGCTCCCGTCTGCCCTCCGGCACAGATACTCATCCCAGTTTGCCCAGTATAACCAGTATAACGCTCCCAGTTTGCCCAGTATCCCCAGTTTGCCCAGTGTAACGGTCCCAGTTTGCCCAGTATAACCCTCCCAGCATTCCCAGTTTGCCCAGTATAACAACCCCTGTATCCCCAGTATAACCCTCCCAGTTTACCCAGTACAACCCTCCCAGTTTCCCCAGTGTAACGGTCTCAGTTTGCCCAGTATAACCAGTACAACCCTCCCAGTTTGCCCAGTATAACCAGTATAACGCTCCCAGTATCACTCACGCCAGCTCCCGTCCGCCCTCCGGCACAGATACGTCTCCCCGATCTCCACCGCCACCTCCGCGTCCCTGGCGCTCCCCGCGTTTCCCGGCGCTCCGCGCCCGCTCCCGGTGCCCGTCCCGGCCCCGCTTCCTCCCCCGGGACCCTCCGGGGTCGCTCGGGGCCCTCCCGGGGCCCCCCCGGACCCGCCCGGGGCCTCCGGGACCGAGCCGGGCCCCGCCGCCGCCATCTTGGAGGCCGCCGGAAGTGACGCACAACGGCCGCGACGCGTTGCTAGGAGACGGGGAGGGGCGGGGATTGGTTGCTAGGAGACGGGGAGGGGCGGGGATTGGTTGCTGGGAGACGGGGGAAGGGCGGGGATTGGTTGCTCGGAGACGGGGGAAGGGCGGGGATTGGTTGCTACGAGAGGCGTGGTTTGCGTTTGGAGGCGTGGTTTAAGTGCTAGGGGCGTGGTTTGGTCGCTATGAGAGGCGTGGTTTGCGTTTGGAGGCGTGGCTTAAATCTAGGGGAGTTGCTTTGTTATAAATGGGCGTGGCTTGCATTTGGAGGCGTGGTTTGGCTGCTATGAGAGGCGAGGTTTGAAATCAGAGGCGTGGCTTCCGTGTGAGTGGGCGTGGTTTGAATTTGGAGGCGTGGTTTGGTTGTTGGGCTCCAATTTCTGATTTAAAATTCCAATTTTCGCCCCCCAAATTTCCGATTTTTCCCCCCAATTTTTTGGGTTAAAGTGTCCTCTTTTCTCCCAAAATCCCCTCTTTTAACCCAAATTTCCCAATTTTGCACCCCAAATCCCCAATTTTTGACTCAAAATTCTCCTTTTTCTCCTTTTTTAGCCCAATTTCTCCATTTTTATCCCCAAATTTCCCTTTTTTTTGCGCAAACTCCCAACTTTTGATTTAAAATTCCCCTTTTTGCCCCTAAATTCCCAATTTTTTACCCCAAACCCCCAAATTTTTACCCCAAATCCCCACTTTATATCTCAAAATTCCCCTTTTTACTCCAAATTCTCCATTTTTTTGCCCCTAAATTCCCTTTTCTCCCCAAATTCCAGAGTTTTGGGTTAAAATTCCCCTTTTTGTCCCCGAATTCCCAAATTTTTCCCCCAAATAAACAATTTTGGGGATAAAATGCCCCTTTTTACCCTAAATTTCCATTTTCACCCCAAATTCCCAATTTTTGGGTGAAAATTCGCCTTTTTGATCCCAAACCCTCAATTATTTTGCCCCAAAATTCCCAATTTTCGCTTCCAAAGTTCCAATTTTTTCCTTTAAAATTCCCCTTTTCACCCCAATTTCCCAATTTTGGACTCAAAATCCCCTTTTCCCACCCAAACTTTCAAATTTGACCCCAAAATTCCCAAATTTTACCCCAAATTCACCTCAAAACCCCCCAAATTTCCCGCCTCACCCTTGAGGTGGGCGTGACCACGCTTAAATTTAAATAAAGGGGCGTGGCTTCGGAGTAGGCGCTCCAAATTTAAATAAAGGGGCGTGGCTTCCACTGAGACCTTCAAATTTAAATAAAGGGGCGCGGTTTCCTCAGAGCCGCCGCAAATTTAAATAAAGGGGCGTGGCTTCCACCAGGGCTCAGGGGCCGCCCTAAATTTAAATAAAGGGGCGTGGTTTCCTCCGAGGGGCGTGGTCAGGCGCGGTGGGCGGGGCTTGGGGCGCCCCTAAAGTCGCCCCAAAAGTCGCGGCCGAGGCCGGGACCCCCAAAAACTCCCAAAAAATCCCCAAAAAATCCCCAAAAAAATCCTAAAAAAACCCCAAAAAATCCTAAAAAATCCCAAAAAGTCCCGAAATTGCCCCAAATCTCCTCCCCCCGCCCCTCCCCCCATGTCGCGACAGGTCCCGACAGCGCTGGCGCCGCTGCTGCTGCTGCTGCTGCTCATCCGTGAGTGGGGATTTGGGGCTTTTTGGGGATTTTTTGGGGTTTTTTTGGGGGATTTTGGGGTTTTTGGGGTTTGGGGGTTTGTAAGGGGATTTTTAGGGGGAATTTTGGGGTTTTTTGGGGGGATTTTGGGGTTTTTTGGGGATATTTTGGGATTTTTAAATATTTTTTCGGGGGTTTTTTCGGGTTTTTTTGGGGATTATTTTGGGGATTTTGGGGATTATTTTGGGGTTTTGGGGGGGATTTTTTGGAGTTTTTTGGGGGATTATTTTGGGTGTTTTTGGGGTTGTTTAGGGGATTATTTTGGGGATTTTTTTTTTGGTTTTTTGGGGATTTTTTGGGGGGATTATTTTGGGGATTGTTTGGGTTTTTTGGGGGATTTTTGGGGGATTATTTTAGGGATTTTTTGGGGGTTTTTTGGGCATTATTTTGGGGATTTTTTGGGGTTTTTTTGGGATTATTTCGGGGGTTATTTTGGGGATTATTTTGGGGTTTTGGGGGGATTTTTTTGGGATTTTTGGGGATTATTTTGGGGTTTTTTGGGGGATTATTTTAGGGATTTTTTTGAGGGATTATTTTTGGGGTTTTTGGGGTTTTTGGGGGGATTATTTTGGGTTTTTTTTTTATTTTGTTGGGGGAATATTTTGGGGGTTATTTTGGGGATTATTTTGGGGTTTTTGGGCGATTTTTTGGGGGTTTGGGGGGGATTTTGGGATTTCGGGGGGATTTTTAGGGGTTTTTTGGGGATTATTTTGGGGTTTTTTGGGGGGATTATTTTAGGGATTTTTGGGGATTATTTTGGGGTTTTTTGGGGGATTATTTTGGGATTATTTTGGGGATATTTTTGGATTTTTTGGGGATTATTTGGGGATTTTTTTGGGGTTATTTTGGGGCCGAGCCCCGGGGGGGTCCCCGGCGTCGGGGGCGGGGCCTCGGGACCGGTCGGACCGGCCCCAAAAAAACCCCAAAAATCACCCGGGGGGTGGGGGAGGGGCCCCAAACAAACCCCAAAAATGAGCCCGGGGCGGTGGGGGAGGGGCGGGGGAAAATTCCTCAAAAATAAAGGGGAAAAAAGCCCCAAAAATTCCCGAAAAATTCCCCCAAAATTGACCCGAATCCCCCCAAAATCCCCCCCAAAAAATCCCCCAAAATTCACTAAAAAAATCACCTAAAATTTCCCCCAAATTCACCCAACATTCACAAAATATTCACCCAAAATTTCCTCCAAAAATCTCTAAAAATTCACAAAAAAATCTCCCAAGAATTCCCCAAAATGCCACCAAAAATCCCCCAAAATTTTCCCCAAAATTTCCCCCAGATTTCCCCAAAAATTGCCCCAAAATTCCCCCAAAATCGCCCAAAATTCCAAAAAAAATCCCCCAAAAATTCCCCAAAATTTTCCCAAAATTCCCCCAAAATTTCCCAAAAAAAAATTCCCTAAAATTCCCCAAATTCCCACAAATTTTCCCAATTTTCCCCCAAAAGGTTCCGGGAGCGGCGCCGAGGCGGAGGCGGAGTCAGAATGTGAGTTATGCAAATGAGGTGTGGAATATTCATGAGGAGGGGGGTGAAAATGGGGAAAAAAATCCCAAAAAATTGGGGTGAAAAATAACAAAAAATGGGGGGAAATGAGCCAAAAATTTGGGGTAAAAATGGGAAAAAATGGGGAAAAGGACCCAAAAAATTGGGAAAAAAATCAAAATTTGGGGAAAAAACACCAAAAATTGGGGAAAAAACACCAAAAATTGGGGAAAAAACCCAAAATGGGGGGGAAAAAATCCCCAAAATTTGGGAAAATGGCTCCAAAAATTGGGATAAGAATCCCCGAAATTGGGAAAATGGGACCAAAAATGGCAAAAAATCTCAAATATGGGAGGGAAACCCCAAAAATTGGGATAAAAAAAACCAAAATTGGGGTTAAAAACCCCAAAAATTGGGGTAAAAAGGCCCAAAATTGGGATTTGGGGAACCCCAAAACCGCCCCTCCCCCACCCCCGCTGTGGCAACCCCGGAATTGGGGGGGGGGGGAGGGGCCCCAAAACCGCCCGGAAACCAAAAATGGGAAATGGAGCCCAAAGGGGCCCAAAAAACCCCAAAATGGCCCCAAAATCCACCAAAATCCACCCCAAAATCTCCTAAATCCCCTAAAAATCCCCTAAATCCCCCAAAATCCCCCAAATCCCCCCTGAAAGACCCCAAATCCACCCCCAAATCCACCCCAAAACCCCCAAAATGGACCCAAAAAAGCCCCAAAATTCACCAAAATCCAGCCCAAAAATCCCCGAAAAATCCCCCCCTGAAAAACCCCAAAATCCCCTAAAAATGCCCCAAAATCCCCCCCTGAAAGACCCCAAATTCCCCCAAATCCACCCCAAAAACCCCAAAATGGACCCAAAAAAGCCCCAAAATTCACCCCCAATGAGCCCAAATCCACCAAAATCCAGCCCAAAAATCCAGCCCAAAATCCCCTAAAAATCCCCCAAAATCCCCCCTGAAAGACCCCAAAAACTCCAAAATGGACCCAAAAAAGGCCCAAAATTCACCCCCAATGAGCCCAAATCCACCAAAATCCACCCCAAAATCTCCTAAATCCCCTAAAAATGCCCCAAAATCCCCCCAGAAGACACCAAATCCCCCAAATCCACCCCAAAAACCCCAAAATGGACCCAAAAAAGCCCCAAAATTCACCCCTAATGAGCCCAAATCCCCCAAAATCCAGCCCCAAAATCCCCTAAAATCCCCCCTGAAAGGCCCCTAAATCCCCCAAATCCCCTAAAAATCTCCCAAAATCCCCCCTGAAAGACCCCAAAAATCCCAAAATGGACCCAAAAAAGCCCCAAAATTCACCCCCAATGACGCAAAATCCAGCCCAAAAATCCCCTAAATCCCCTAAAAATGCCCCTAAATCCCCCATGAAAGACCCAAAAATCCCCCAAATCCGCCCCAAAATCCCCTGAAATCACCCCAGAAATGCTCCTAAACCCCCCCAAAATCCCTCAAAAAGGTTCCTAAATCCCCTAAACCACAAAAAAAAAAGTCCCTAAACCCCCAAATCTCCCCCAAAATCCCTCAGAAAGGTTCCTAAATCCCCTAAGCCACCGGAAAAAACGTTCCTAAACCCCCCGAAAAGGTTCCTAAACCCCCTAACCCGCCCAAAAAGGTTCCTAAATCCCCTAAGCTACCGAAGAAAATGTTCCTAAATCCCCCAAAACCCCTCAGAAAGGTTCCTAAACCCCCTAAACCACCGAAAAAACGTTCCTAAATCCTTCAAAAAAGGTTCCTAAATCCCCTAAACCACTGAAAAAAAGGTTCCTAAACCCTCGAAATCCCCCAAAATCCCTCGAAAAGGTTCCTAAGTCCCCTAAGCCACCGGAAAGAACGTTCCTAAACCCCCCAAATCCCCCTCAAAATCCCTCAAGAAGGTTCCTAAATCCCCTAAGCCACCAAAAAAAAGTTCCTAAGCCCCCCCAAATCCCTCAAAAAGGTTCCTAAATCCCCTAAACCGCCGGAAAACGTGTCCCTAAACCCCCTAAAAAGGTTCCTAAACCCCCCAAAATCCCTCAAAAATGTTCCTAAATCCCCTAAACCACTGAAAAAAATGTTCTTAAACCCCCATAAAAGGTTCCTGAACCCCCCCAATCCCCCCCCAAATCCCCTGAAATCACCCCAGAATGGTTCCTAAACCCCCCCAAAATCCCTCAAAAATGTTCCTAAATCCCTTAAACCACTGAAAAAATGTTCCTAAATCCCTCAAAAAAGGTTCCTAAATCCCCTAAACCGCCAAAAAAAAGTTCCTAAAGCCCCCCAAATCCTTTGAAAGGTTCCTAAACCCCCTAAGCCACCGAAAAAACGTTCCTAAATCCCTCAAAAAGGTTCCTAAACCCCCCAAAAGCCTTCAAAAAGGTTCCTAAATCCCCTAAACCACTGAAAAAAATGTTCTTAAACCCCCATAAAAGGTTCCTGAACCCCCCCAATCCCCCCCAAATTCCCTGAAATCACCCCAGAATGGTTCCTAAACCCCCCCAAAATCCCTCAAAAATGTTCCTAAATCCCTTAAACCACCGAAAAAATGTTCCTAAACCCCTCAAAAAAGGTTCCTAAATCCCCTAAACCGCCAAAAAAAAGTTCCTAAAGCCCCCCAAATCCCTTTGAAAGGTTCCTAAACCCCCTAAGCCACCAATAAAAGGTTCCTAAACCCCCCAAATCCCCCGCAAAATCCCTCGAAAAGGTTCCTAAATCCCCTAAACCACCAGAAAGAACGTTCCTAAACCCCCAAATCCCCCTCAAAATCCCTCAAGAAGGTTCCTAAATCCCCTAAACCGCCAAAAAAAAGTTCCTAAAGCCCCCCCAAATCCCTTTGAAAGGTTCCTAAACCCCCTAAACCACCGAAAAAAACGTTCCTAAATCCCTCAAAAAGGTTCCTAAACCCCCCAAAATCCTTCAAAAAGGTTCCTAAATCCCCTAAACCACTGAAAAAAATGTTCTTAAACCCCCATAAAAGGTTCCTAAACCCCCCCAATCCCCCCCCAAATCCCCTGAAATCACCCCAGAATGGTTCCTAAACCCCCCCAAAATCCCTCAAAAATGTTCCTAAATCCCTTAAACCACCGAAAAAATGTTCCTAAATCCCTCAAAAAAGGTTCCTAAATCCCCTAAACCGCCAAAAAAAAGTTCCTAAAGCCCCCCAAATCCCTCAGAAAGGTTCCTAAACCCCCTAAGCCACCGAAAAAACGTTCCTAAATCCCTCAAAAAGGTTCCTAAACCCCCCAAAATCCCTCAAAAATGTTCCTAAATCCCCTAAAACACCAAAAAAACCCGTTCCTAACCCCCCCAAAATCCCTCAAAAAGGCTCCTAAACCCCCTAAGCCGCCAAAAAAAAATTCCTAAACCCCCCCCAAAAGGTTCCTAAATCCCCTAAACCACCGGAAAAAGGTTCCTAAATCCATCAAAAAAGGTTCCTAAATCCCCTAAACCACCGGGAAAAAATGCTCCTAAATCCCCCAGAAAGGTTCCTAAACCCCCCCAAACCCCTCAAAAAGGTTCCTAAATCCCCTAAACCACCAAAGAAAATGCTCCTAAACGCCCCGAAAAGGTTCCTAAACACCCCAAAATCCCTCAGAAAGGTTCCTAAACCCCCTAAACCACCGAAAAAACGTTCCTAAATCCCTCAGAAAGGTTCCTAAATCCCCTAAGCCACCAAAAAAAGTCCCTAAACCCCCCGAAAAGGTTCCTAAACCCCCAAATCCCCCCCAAAACCCCCCAAATCCCCCCCAAACTCCCTCAGAAAGGTTCCTAAACCCCCTATACCACCGAAAAAAATGCTCCTAAACCCCCCAAAATGTGCCTAAATCCCCTAAACCACCGGAAAAGATGTCCCTAAGCCCCCCAAAAAGCCCCCAAAATCCCCCCAAAACCCTCAGAAAGGTTCCTAAAGCCCCCAAATCCCCCTCAAAATCCCTCAGAAAGGTTCCTAAACCCCCTAAGCCACCGAAAAAACGTTCCTAAATCCCTCAAAAAAGGTTCCTAAATCCCCTAAACCGCCGGAAAAGGTTCCTAAACCCCCTAAACCACCGAAAAAAATGCTCCTAAACCCCCCAAAATGTGCCTAAATCCCCTAAACCACCGGAAAAGATGTCCCTAAACCCCCCAAACCCCCCCAAAATCCCCTCCTAAACCCCTCAAAAATGCTCCTAAACCCCCCCAAAAACGCCCCTAACCCCCCCAGACCCCTCTGTCCCCCCCTCCCCCTCTATCGGTTCCTAAATCCCCTCTCCCCCTCTCCCCTCTCTCCCCTCCCCCGCAGGGTCCGAGTGCGGCCGCTCGCGCTCCCGGGCCCGCGTGGTGGGCGGGGCTGCGGCGCGCGCGGGGCGGTGGCCGTGGGCGGTCAGCCTGAGGCTGGGGGAGGGGCACCGCTGCGGGGGCTCCCTGGTGAGCCCGGAATGGGTGCTGACCGCGGCGCACTGCTTCAAGGGGTGAGCCTAGGGGATTTGGGAGCCTTTTGGGGTGATTTATGGGGGATTTGGGGTCATTTGGGGTCCCTGGTGAGCCCGGAATGGGTGCTGACAGCGGCGCATTGCTTCAAAGGGTGAGCCTAGGGGATTTGGGAACATTGTAATGGGGTTTGGGAGCCTTTTGGGGTTCCTGGTGACACCGGAATGGGTGCTGACCGCGGCGCATTGCTTCAAAGGGTGAGCCAAAGGGGTTTGGGGTGATTTATGGGGGATTTGGGGTCATTTGGGGTCCCTGGTGAGCCCGGAATGGGTGCTGACCGCGGCGCATTGCTTCAAAGGGTGAGCATAGGGGATTTGGGAACATGGAGAGGGGATTTGGGAGCCTTTTGGGGTCATTTATGGGGGATTTGGGGTCATTTGGGGTCCCTGGTGACACCGGAGTGGGTGCTGACCGCGGCGCATTGCTTCAGGGGGTGAGCCAAGGGGAGTTAGGAACATTGGGGTCATTTATGGGGGATTTGGGGTCATTTATGGGGGATTTGGGGTCATTTGGGGTCCCTGGGGAGCCCCCAGTGGGTGCTGACCGCGGCGCATTGCTTCAAGGGGTGAGCCAAGGGGATTTGGGGTGATTTATGGGGGATTTGGGGCTCCCTGGTGACCCCGGAATGGGTGCTGACCGTGGCACATTGCTTCAAAGGGTGAGCCTAGGGGATTTGGGAACATGGAGAGGGGATTTATGGGGTCATTTATGGGGATTTGGGGTCCCTGGTGAGCCCGGAATGGGTGCTGACCGCGGCGCATTGCTTCAAAGGGTGAGCCTAGGGGATTTGGGAACATGGAGAGGGGATTTGGGGTCATTTATGGGGGATTTGGGGTCCCAATGGGTGCTGACCGCGGCGCACTGCTTCAAAGGGTGAGCCTAGGGGGTTTGGGAACATTGGAATGGGATTTATGGGGGATTTGGGGTCCCTGGTGAGCCCGGAATGGGTGCTGACCGCGGCACATTGCTTCAAAGGGTGAGCCCAGGGGATTTGGGAGCCTTTTGGGGTCATTTATGGGGGATTTGGGGTCATTTGGGGTCCCTGGTGAGCCCGGAGTGGGTGCTGACCGCGGCGCATTGCTTCAAAGGGTGAGCCTAGGGGATTTGGGAGCCTTGTAATGGGGTTTGGGAACATTGGAATGGGATTTGGGGAGCCCCCAGTGGGTGCTGACGGCGGCGCATTGCTTCAAAGGGTGAGCCCAGGGGAGTTAGGAGCCTTTTGGGGTCATTTATGGGGATTTGGGGTCCCAATGGGTGCTGACCGCGGCGCACTGCTTCAAAGGGTGAGCCTAGGGGGTTTGGGAACATTGTAATGGGATTTATGGGGGTTTGGGGTCCCTGGTGACCCCGGAATGGGTGCTGACCGCGGCGCATTGCTTCAAAGGGTGAGCCCAGGGGGTTTAGGAACATTGTAATGGGATTTATGGGGATTTGGGAGCCTTTTGGGGTCCCAGTGGGTGCTGACGGCGGCGCATTGCTTCAAAGGGTGAGCCAAGGGGATTTGGGAGCCTTTTGGGGTCATTTATGGGGGATTTGGGGTTCCTGGTGAGCCCCCAGTGGGTGCTGACAGCCGCGGCTGCTTCCGAGGGTGAGCCCAGGGGATTTGGGAGCCTTTGGGAGGGGATTTAGGAACATTGCAAGGGGATTTGGGGTCATTTATGGGGATTTGGGGTCATTTATGGGGATTTCAGGGGGATTTGGGGTCCCTGGGGGCTCCGCGCTGCTTCCGGGGGTGAGCCCAGGGGGTTTAGGAGCGCTCCAAGGGGATTTGGGAACCTTGGAGTGAATTTTGTGATGGTTTGGGGTGATTTTTGCTGATTTTGGGTGATTTAGGACCATTTTGTGATGATTTTGGGGTGAATTTTGGGGTGAATTTTTGCTGATTTTGGGTGGTTTAGGACCATTTTGTGATGGTTTTGGGGTGAATTTTGGGGTGAATGTCGCTGATTTTGGGTGATTTTGGACCATTTTTGATGGTTTTATGGTTTTGGGGCAATTCCCGTGGGTTTTGGGTCCCTCAGGCCCGGGGGTCTCCGGGCTCCTCTGTCCGAGTGGCGAGCGGTGCTGGGCCGGCTGCGGCTGCAGAGTGACCACGAGATGTGACCACGGGAGTGACCACGGGAGTGACCACGGGAGTGACCACAGGAGTGACCACAGCACTGACCACCCCATTGACCACCTGAGTGACCACCCCAATTGGATCCCAGAGTGACCACAGCAGTGACCACGGGAGTGACCACAAGGCTGACACAGGGATGACCACAGGAGTGACCACCTGAGGGACCACAGGGATGGACACAGGAGTGACCATGGGAGTGACCACAGCACTGACCACCTGAGTGACCACTCCACTGACCACTCCAATGGGTCCCAGAGTGACCACAAGAGTGACCACAGGGATGGACAAGAGACTGAACGCTGAGATGGACATGAGAGTGACCACAGTGCTGACCCCAAAAATGACCCCAATACAGCCCACAGGAGTGACCACAGGAGTGACCACTCGAATGTCCCCAGGGCTGACCCCGAGAGTGACCACAGGGATGGACACGAGAGTGACCACAGGGATGGACACGAGAGTGACCACAGCAGTGACCACCAGAGTGACCACTGAATGTCCCCAGGGCTGACCCTGACGCTGACCCCGACGCTGACCCTGGCCAGGAAGTGGCCGTGGCCGAGCTCGTTGTCCACGAGCGCTTCCGGGGCGTCCGGGGGGGTCACGACCTGGCCCTGGTGCGGCTCCGGCCTCCGGCCACGCTCGGACCCCGCGTGGGCCCCGTCTGCCTGCCCCTCCCCCACCCTCCGGCGCCTTCGGCCGCAGCTGCTGGGTCAGCGGGTGGGGACACGTGGCCGAAAATGGTGAGTGCCAAAAACCCCAAATTCACCCCAAAAATGGTGATAATATCCCATGGTCCCTGCTGGGTCAGCGGGTGGGGGCACGTGGCCGAAAATGGTGAGTGACCAGTACCAAAAACCCCAAAAATGGAAATATTTACCCCAAAATATCCCATGGTCCCTGCTGGGTCAGCGGGTGGGGGCACGTGGCTGAAAATGGTGAGTGACCACTGCTAAAAAACCCCAAAAATGGTAAAATTTACCCCAAAATGTGCAATGGTCCCTGCTGGGTCAGCGGGTGGGGGCACGTGGCTGAGAATGGTGAGTGACCACTGCTAAAAACCCCAAAATTTACCCCAAAATTTACCCCAAAATATCCCATGGTCCTCCATGCCCCCCTACCCCGCGGGTCAGCGGGTGGGGGCACGTGGCCGAAAACGGGGAATGCCAAAAACCCCAAAATTCACCCCAAAAATGGTGATAATATCCAATGGTCCCTGCTGGCCAAAACGGTGAGTGACCAGTCCTAAAAATGGTAAAATTCACCCCAAAAAATGGTACAAATGTCCAATGGTCCCTGCTGGGTCAGCGGGTGGGGACACGTGGCCGAGAATGGTGAGTGACCACTGCCAAAAACCCCAAAATGGTAAAATTCACCCCAAAATATCCCATGGTCCCTGCTGGGTCAGCGGGTGGGGACATGTGGCTGAAAATGGTGAGTGCCAAAAACCCCAAAATTCACCCCAAAATTGACCCCAAAATATCCCATGGTCCCTGCTGGGTCAGCGGGTGGGGGCACGTGGCTGAAAATGGTGAGTGACCACTGCCAAAAAACCCCAAAATTCACCCCAAAAATGGTGATATTATCCCATGGTCCCTGCTGGGTCAGCAGGTGGGGGCACGTGGCCGAAAATGGTGAGTGACCACTGCTAAAAACCCCAAAATTCACCCCAAAATGTCCAATGGTCCCTGCTGGGTCAGCGGGTGGGGGCACGTGGCCGAAAACGGTGAGTGACCACTGCTAAAAACCCCAAAATTCACCCAAAATTCACCCAAAAATGGTACAAATATGCAATGGTCCTTGCTGGCCAAAACGGTGAGTGACCAGTGCCAAAAACCCCAAAATTCACCCCAAAATTGACCCCAAAATATCCCATGGTCCCTGCTGGGTCAGCGGGTGGGGACACGTGGCCGAGAATGGTGAGTGCCAAAAACCCCAAAATCACCCCAAAATTTACCCCAAAAATGGTACAAATGTCCCATGGTCCCTGCTGGGTCAGCGGGTGGGGACACGTGGCCGAAAATGGTGAGTGACCACTGCCAAAAACCCCAAAAATGGTAAAATTCACCCCAAAATATCCCATGGTCCCTGCTGGGTCAGCGGGTGGGGACACGTGGCTGAGAATGGTGAGTGACCACTCCTAAAAACCCCCAAAAATGGTAAAATTTACCCCAAAATATCCCATGGTCCCTGCTGGGTCAGCGGGTGGGGACACGTGGCTGAGAATGGTGAGTGACCAATGCTAAAAACCCCAAAAATGGTAAAATTTACCCCAAAATATCCCATGGTCCCTGCTGGGTCAGCGGGTGGGGGCACGTGGCCGAGAATGGTGAGTGACCACTCCTAAAAACCCAAAATTCACCCCAAAAATTGTGATAATATCCAATGGTCCCTGCTGGGTCAGCGGGTGGGGGCACGTGGCCGAGAATGGTGAGTGACCACTGCCAAAAACCCCAAAATTCACCCCAAAATTTACCCCAAAATGTCCAATGGTCCCTGCTGGGTCAGCGGGTGGGGGCACGTGGCTGAAAATGGTGAGTGACCAGTGCCAAAAACCCCAAAATTTACCCCAAAAATGGTGATAATATCCCATGGTCCCTGCTGGGTCAGCAGGTGGGGGCACGTGGCTGAAAATGGTGAGTGCCAAAAACCCCAAAATTCACCCCAAAATTCACCCCCAAAATGCTACAAATATCCAATGTTCCCTGCTGGCCAAAACGGTGAGTGACCACTGCCAAAAACCCCAAAAATGCCGAAATTCACCCCAAAATTGACCCCAAAATTGACCCCAAAATTGACCCCAAAACCATCCAATGATCCCTACTGGCCGAGAATGGTGAGTGACCAGTTCCAAAAACCCCAAATTCACCCCAAAACATCAGAAAACCCCAAAAATTTCACCCCAAAAAATCACAAAAAAAAAACCCCCAAAATTCACCCCAAAACTGACCCCAAAACCCCCGATTTTGGCCTCTCTCACCCCAATTTTTTAGGGTTTCTCACTCAATTTTTTGGGGATTTCTCACCGGATTTTCGGGGGGTTCCTCCCCCAATTTTGGGAGGGGTCTGACCCCAATTTGGGGAGGGGTCTCACCCATTTTTAGGGTCCCTCATCCCAATTTTTGGGGTCTCCAAGCCCCCGATTTTGGCCTCTCTCACCCCATTTTTTACCGTTTCTCACCGGATTTTCGGGGCGATTCCTCCCCCAATTTTGGCAGGGGTCTCTCCCCAATTTGGGGAGGGGTCTGGCCCAAATTTGGGGAGGGGTCTCACCCATTTTCAGGGTCCCTCATCCCAATTTTTGGGGTCTCTCAGGCCCCGATTTTGGCCTCTCTCACCCCATTTTTTTTAGCGTTTCTCACTCAGTTTTTACCGTTTCTCACCGGATTTTTGGGGGGATTTCTCCCCCAATTTTGGGAGGGGTCTGGCCCCGATTTGGAGGAGGGGTCTCACCCCAATTTCAGGGCTCCTTCTCCCCAGTTTTTGGCCTCTCTCACCCCATTTTTTTACCCTTTCTCACCCCATTTTTCACCGTTTCTCACCGGATTTTCGGGCCGATTCCTCCCCCAATTTTGGGAGGGGTCTCCCCCAATTTGGGGAGGGGTCTCAGGGTTCCTTTTTCCCCCTCCCCAGTGTCGCTGCCCGCGGGTTCCCCGCTGCAGGAGGCGGAGCTGCCGCTGCTCTCGCCCCTCACCTGTAACTGCCCTCCATTCGCACCTGGGCCGCCGCCACCTGGCCCGGCCCGCCCGGCCCGGGATGCTCTGCGCGGGGGGGGCCCGGGGCGGCCGCGGCGCCTGCCAGGTAAAGTGGGGAGGGGGCTTCGAGGGGGGGGGAAATTGGGATTTTTTGGGATTTTTTGGGATTTTTTGGGATTTTTTTTGAATTTTTTAGGATTTTTTTTCGAATTTTTTTCGATTTTTTTTTCGATTTTTTGGGTGTTTTTTGGGGGGTTGCGGAGGTTCAAATGGTCTGGGGGCGTCCAGACCTGCCAGGGAATTTGGGGAGGGGTCTCGGGTGGGATTTGAGGGTTAAATTGGAATTTTGGGATTTTTTTGGGGATTTTTGGGGCGGATCTGGGGTCCCGGGATGCTCTGCGCGGGGGGGGCCCGGGCGGCCGCGGCGCCTGCCAGGTAAAGTGGGGAGGGGGCTTCGAGGGGGGGGGAAATTGGGATTTTTTTGGGATTTTTTTGGGATTTTTTGGGATTTTTTTGAATTTTTTTCGATTTTTTTTCGATTTTTTTTTGAATTTTTTGGGGTTTTTTTGGGGGTTTTGGGAGGTTCAATGGGTCTGGGGGCGTCCAGGACCTGCCAGGGAATTTGGGGAGGGGTCTCGGGTGGGATTTGAGGGGTTAAATTGGGAATTTTGGGATTTTTTTTGAATTTTTTTCGAATTTTTGGTGGGTTTTTGGAGGGTTTCAGGAGGTTAAAATGGGGATTTTTGGGGTTCAAATGGGTCTGGGGGCGTCAGGACCTGCCAGGGAATTTGGGGAGAGGTCTTGGGGGGGTTTGGGGTGGTTCAGTTGGGATTTTTGGGTTAAAATGGGGAATTTTGGGATTTTTTTGGGGATTTTTGGGGCGGATCTGGGGGTCCCGGGATGCTCTGCGCGGGGGGGGCCCGGGGCGGCCGCGGCGCCTGCCAGGTAAAGTGGGGAGGGGGCTTCGAGGGGGGGGAAATTGGGGATTTTTGGGGATTTTTTGGGATTTTTTTTGGATTTTTTGGATTTTTTTGGGATTTTTTTCGAATTTTTTTCGATTTTTTTTCGATTTTTTTGAATTTTTTGGGTGTTTTTTGGGGGTTTTGGGAGGTTAAATTGGGGATTTTAGGGGTTAAAATGGGTCTGGGGGCGTCCAGGACCTGCCAGGGAATTTGGGGAGGGGTCTCGGGTGGATTTAAGGGTTAAGTGAGGATTTTTGGGATTTTTTTTTGAATTTTTTTTTGAATTTTTTTTCGATTTTTTTTGGATTTTTGGGTGTTTTTTTGGGGATTCGGGAGGTTCAAATGGTCTGGGGGCGTCCAGGACCTGCCAGGGAATTTGGGGAGGGGTCTCGGGTGGGATTTAAGGGGTTAAATTGGGATTTTTGGGGTTTTTTTGGGGATTTTTTGAATTTTTTGGGGATTTTTTTGGAATTTTTGGGGGATTTTTTTGGATTTTTTGGATATAGTTTGGGGATATTTTGGGAGCATTTTGGGGAAGTTTTTAGGATTTTTTTGGGGATATTTTAGGGATATTTTGGGGATGTTTTGGGGATGTTTTGGGGATGTTTTGGGGACATTTTTAGGATTTTTTAGGATATTTTAGGGACGTTTTGGGGATATTTTGGGGATATTTTTGGGGACCTTTTGGGGATATTTTGGGGATATTTTGAGCACGTTTTGGGGATGTTTTAGGATTTTTGGGATATTTTGGGGATATTTTGGGCATATTTTGGGGACATTTTGAGGACATTTTGGGGTTATTTTGGGGATATTTTTAGGGATATTTCAGGGACATTTTGGGGATATTTTTAGGATTTTTTGGGAGATAGTTTGGGGGTATTTTGGGAATATTTTGGGGATATTTTGGGGATGTTTTGGGGTTGTTTTAGGGATATTTTTAGGGATATTTCGGGGACATTTTGGGGATATTTTTGGGGACATTTTGGGGATATTTTGGGACATTTCTCAGCGCTGTTTTTTTGCCACTTTCTCACGTTGGTTTTTTTTTAATATCTCCGCCATTTTCTGTGCTATTTCCACGCGGTTTTTTGCATTTTTTTCCTTTTTTTTTGTATTTTTGGCCCCTCCAGGCGGACTCGGGGGCGCCGTTACCTGCGGGGGGTTCCCGGGGGGGCGCTGGGTGCAGTTCGGGGTTTTTGGGATTTTTTCGGGGTTTTTTGGGTGATATTTTCAGGGTTTTTTGGGGATTTTTTCGGGGTTTTTTGGGTGATATTTTTTCAGGGCTCTTTTGGTTTTTTTCCTTGGGATTTTTAGGATTTTTTTGGGGATATTTTGGGGACTTCTTGTGGATTTTTTTGGGGACGTTTTGGGGATTTTTTGGGGACGTTTTGGGGATTTTTTCGGGGTTTTTAGGGTGATATTTTTTCAGGGCTCTTTTGGGTTTTTTCCTTGGGATTTTTAGGATTTTTTTGGGGATATTTTGGGGACTTCTTGTGGATTTTTTTGGGGACGTTTTGGGGATTTTTTGGGGACTTTTGGGGATTTTTGGGGGGATATTTTTGGGGATTTTTTGGAGATATTTTGGGGACGTTTTAGGTGTATTTTGGGGACATTTTGGGGATATTTTTAGGGATATTTTGGGGACATTTTGGTGATATTTTTGGGGACATTTTGGGGATATTTTGGGACATTTCTCAGCGCTGGTTTTTGCCTCTTTCTCATGGTTTTTTTCTTTAATATCTCCACCATTTTCTGTGCTATTTCCATGCGGTTTTTTGCATTTTTCCCCTCTTTTCCCCCTTTTTTCGCCCCTCCAGGCGGACTCGGGGGGCGCCGTTACCTGCGGGGGGTTCCCGGGGGGGCGCTGGGTGCAGTTCGGGGTCCTGAGCTTCGCCCTGGGCTGCGCCCGCCCCAACGGCCCCGCCCTGGCCACGGCCCTGGGCGGGGCCCACTCGCGGTGGCTGCAGCGGCGCCTCCCCCCCAGCGCCTTCCTCAGAGAGCCCCCGGGACCCCCCCCGGACCCCGCGGCCGAGGTCGGCATCTGCTACGGTGAGACCCCTCCCCAAATCCCCGGAATTCACCCAAAAAAATCCCCATAAAAATCCCCATAAAAATCCCCAAAAAAATCCCCATAAAAATCCCTAAAAACTGCCCCAAAATCCCTCAAAATGGCCCCGAAATTCCTGCCCCAAAATCCCCCTAAACCGGGGATGGAGGTCGGCATCTGCTACGATGAGACCCCTCCCCAAAATCCTGGAAATTCACCCCAAAAAAATCCCCAAAAAATCCCCATAAAAATCCCAAAAAAATCCCCAAAAAAATCCCCATAAAAATCCCCATAAAAATCTCAAAATTCCCTCGAAACTGCCCCAAAATCCAGCCCCAAAATCCCCCCTAAACCGGGGATGGAGGTCGGGATCTGCTGTGGTGAGACCCCTCCCCAAATCCCAGAAATTCACCCCAAAAAAATCCCCATAAAAATCCCCATAAAAATCCCAAAAAATCCCCATAAAAATCCCCATAAAAAATCCCCATAAAAATCCCTAAAAACAGCCCCAAAATCCCTCGAAACTGCCCCAAAATCCTGCCCTAAAATCCCCCTAAACTGGGGATGGAGATCGGGATCTGCTACGGTGAGACCCCTCCCCAAATCCCGGAAATTCACCCCAAAAAAATCCCCAAAAAAATCCCCCAAAAAATCCCCATAAAAATCCCTAAAAACTGCCCCAAAATCCCTTGAATTTCCCCCAAAATCCCTCCAAACTGCCTCGAAATCCTGCCCAAAATCCCCCCCTGAACTGGGGATGGAGGTCGGGATCTGCTACGGTGAGACCCCTCCCCAAATCCCCGGAATTCACCCCAAAAAAATCCCCATAAAAATCCCCATAAAAAATCCCATAAAAATCCCTAAAACCTGCCCCAAAATCGCTAAAAACTGCCCCAAAATCCTGCCCCAAACCCTTCCCTGAAATACCCAAAAATCCCCCCCAAAAAATCCAGAAAAAATCCCCAAAAAATCCCTCCAAAATTCCCCAAAAATCCCCTCAAAAAATCCCATAAAATCCGCTCACAACAGCCCCAAAATCCTGCCCCAAACGCCTCTCCAAAATACCTAAAAAAATCCCTTAAAAATCCCCAAAAAATCCTTTAAAAATCGCAAAAAAATCCCCCAAAAATTCCCCCCAAAAAAATCCCCAAAAAAATCCCGCCAAAATCCCGGAAAAAATCCCATAAAATCCGCTCAAAAACCGCCCCAAAATCCTGCCCCAAACCCCTCCCTAAAATCCCAAGAAATCCCCGTAAAAATCCCATTAAAATTCCATCAAAGCCGCCCAAAAATCCTGCCCCAAACCCCTCCCTAAAATCCCCAAAAACCCCCCCAAATTCCCCCAAAAATGAAAAAAGAAAATCCCTTAAAAGCCCCCCAAAAATCCTCTAAAAAATGCCCCAAAATGCCTTAAAAATCTGAAAAATCCCTCAAAACCAGCCTGAAATCCTGCCCCAAACCCGGCCCCAAAAAACTCCAAAAAAATCCCCCAAAAATTCCCCCCCAAAATCCCCAAATTTTCCCCCAAGTTCTGCCCCTTCCCCTCCCCCACCCCAAATTCTGACCCCACCCCAAATTTTAACCCCGCCCCCTCACTATGACCCCGCCCCTCCCCCAAATCGGACCCCGTCCCTCCCATTGACCCCACCCCCTCGTTTCTGACTCCGCCCTTTCATTTCTGACCACGCCCCTCATTTTGACCACGCCCCATCCCCCATTGACCCCTCCTGTATTCTGACCCCGCCCTCTCATTTGACCACGCCCACAAATCTGACCCCACCCCGCCCCAAAATCTGACCCCTCCCCCTCAATCTGACCCCACCCCTTCATTCTGACCCCGCCTCAAACCTTGACCACGCCCCCAATTCTGACCCCACCCCTCCCTCCTTGACCCACTCTCCTCATTATGGCCCCGCCCCATCCCTAACCCCACCCCCTCATTCCTGACCCCGCCCATTTGTGACTGCATCCCCTCATTCCTGACCCTGCCCACTCATCCCTAACCACGCCCCCATTCCCTGCCCCGCCCCCTGACTCTCGCCCCACCCCCCCATTCCTAACCCCACTCCCCCTGGCCCCGCCCCCTGACTCTGGCCCCTCCCCCATTGTCCCCGCCCCCATCCCTAACCCCACCCCCATCCTGATCCCGCCCCCCATTCCTGACCCTGCCCCTCCCCATTGACCCCGCCCCCATTCCTGACCCCGCCCTCCCCATTCCTGACCACGCCCCCATTTCTGACCCCTCCCCTCATTTCTGATCTCACCACCCCCTCCTTCCTGACCCCGCCCCCCATTGACCCCACCCCATTCCTGACCTTGCCCCTCCCACAGTGACCCCGCCCCTCATTCCTGACCCCACCCCCTCATTTCTGACCCCTCCCCCATCCCTAACCCCGCCCCCTGGCTCTGGCCCCGCCCCCTGACTGTGGCCCCTCCCCCTCTCCCCAGGCTGCGGCTCCATGGGGGGTCCCCCCGTGCCCCTCCCCCCGCCCCCGCGCTGGCCCTGGGGGGTCTCCCTGCGGGGGGGGAGGGGCGGCGCTGCGGGGGGGCCCTGCTGGGGGGGGGCTGGGTCCTCACCGCCGCCAGCTGCTTCCTGGGGTGAGTCATTCATTCATTAATTACTGGTTAATTAGCGTTAATTGATAGTCACTGATCGTTATCTATGGGAGTTATCCTGGAATTAACACCAAATGTTGAAAAAATTGCATGAAATTAACCCTAATTAACCCTAATTAACCCAAAATTCAGGCCCCGGCTGCTTCCCCGGGCGAGCCATTTATTAATTAGCGGTAATTAATATTTATTAGCGGTAATTAATAGCGGTAATTAATATTTATTAGCGGTAATTAATATTTATTAATGGGGATTAAGCTGGAATTAACGAGAAATCCCCAAATTAACGGAAATTATTCCAACATTCGCTTGATCAGGTGAGTGATTAGACTAAATTAGCATTAATTAATATTCATTAACGATAATTAATGATGTAACCACCCCAAAAATCCCCAAATTTTCCCCAAATTTTTTTCCCCATTTTTCCCCACAGGGCTCAGGACCCCGAGGCCTGGGAGGCGGAGCTCTGGGGGGCGGAGCTTGGAAGCCCCGCCCCCTCTCCATCAGGCCCCTCCCCCTGTCCTTCAGGCCCCTCCCCTTCCCATTCTGACTCCTCCCCTTCTGATTCAGGCCCCTCCCCTTCCCCTTCAGGCCCCTCCCCCTCCAATTCTGACCCCTCCCCCTTGGTTGGCTCCTCCCCCTTCCCCTCTGGCCCCTCCCCTTCCCATCCTGACCACTCCCATTCTGGCCCCGCCCTCTCAGGCTCCTCCCACTCTGCCAGCCCCTCCCATTCTGGCCCCTCCCCTTCCCCTTCAGACCCCGCCCATCCCAGTTCCACCACCTCAGGCCCCGCCCCTTCAGTCCCCTCCCATCCTGGCCCCTCCCCCTCCGACTCCACCCCTCCAAGCCCCGCCCCCTCAGTAGGCCCCGCCCCCCGCGGTTCCCGCCTCCACCTCCACGGGGCCTTTGCGGGGGCGGGGCCTGAGGGGGCGGGGCCGGACCTGGCGCTGCTGCAGCTCCGCCCCTCGCCCACCTGGGGGCCGCACCTGCGGCCGCTCTGCGCCCCCTACCGGGACCACCTGGCCACGCCCACCCTGCGCCCGGCCACGCCCACCGCCTACCGGGGAACCTGCTGGGCCCTGCTGCCAGGTGAGGGGGCGGGGCTGGGCTGGGCCACGCCCACACTGCGGGCCTGGCCACGCCCACCGTTAAACTGGGGGGCACCCACAATGCACCTGGGCACTCCTGGCCACGCCCAGCGGGCAACTGGCCACGCCCAGCGGGCACCTGGGCACACCTGGATCACTTTTGGGCACCCCTGGGCACACCCGGGTGGTACCTGGGGCTCACCTGGGCACACCTGGGCACACCTGGATCCCCTTTTGGCACATCTGGATCACTTTTGGGCACACCTGGGGACACCCACAATGCACCTGGGCAGACCTGGCCACGCCCACCGGGCACCCGGGCACACCAGGATCACTCTTGGGCACACCTGAGACACACCTGGGGCTCACCTGGGGCACACCTGGATCACTTTTTGGCACACCTGGGGCACATCTGGATCACTTTTTGGCACACCTGGGGCACACCTGGATCACTTTTTGGCACACCTGGGGCTCACCTGGGCACATCTGGATCACTTTTTAGCACCCTTGGATCACACCTGGGGCACACCTGGATCACTATTTGGCACCCCCTGGATCACTTTTTGGGCACACCTGGGGCACACCTGGATCACTTTGGGCACACCTGGGGCTTACCTGGGGCACACCCGGGATCACTTTTTGGCACACCTGGATCACTTTTTAGCACACCTGGGCACACCTAGGGCACACCTGGATCACTTTTGGGCACTGTGGATCACATTTGGCACACCTGGGGCACACCTGGGCACACCTGGATCATTATTTGGCACCCCGGATCACTTTTGGGCACACCTGGGCACACCTGGATCACTTTTTAGCACCCTTGGATCACTTTTGGGCGCACCTGGGGCACACCTAGGGCACACCTGGATCACTTTTTGGCACCTCTGGATCACATTTGGGCACCTCTGGATCACTTTTTGGCACACCTGGGGCTCACCTGGGGCACACCTGGATCACTTTTGGGCACACCTGGGCACACCTGGGGCACACCTGGATCACTTTTAGGCACCCCCCTGGATCACTTTTGGGCACACCTGAGATACACCTAGGGCACACCTGGATCACTTTTTAGCACACCTGGGCACACCTAGGGCACACCTGGATCACTTTTTGGCACCATGGATCACATTTGGGCACACCTGAGGTACACCTGGCCACATCTGGATCACTTTTGGGCACACCTGGATCACTTTTTGGGCACACCTGGGGCACACCTGGATCACTTTTTGGCACACCTGGGGCCCACCTGGGCACACCTGAATCACTTTCTGGCACACCTGGGCACACCTGGATCACTTTTGGGCACACCTGGGGCAGACCTGGATCACTTTTTGGCACACCTGGGGCTCACCTGGGCAGACCTGGATCACTTTTTGGCACACCTGAGATACACCTGGGCACACCTGGATCACTTTTTGGCACTCTGGATCACTTTTGGGCACATCTGGGCACACCTGGATCACTTTCTGGCACACTTGGATCACTTTTTGGCACCCTGGATCACTTTTGGGCACACTTGGGGCACACCTGGATCACTTTTTGACACACCTGAGATACACCTGGGGCACACTTGGATCACTTTTTGGCACCTCGGATCCCTTTTTGGCACCCCTGGATCACTTTTTGGCACCCCGGATCCCTTTTTAGACCCCCGGGACCCCGCCCGGCTCCGCCCGGCCCAGGTGAGCCCCGAGCGCTGCCCCCAAAATCCCGAAAACGACGGAAACGGCCCCAAAAACCCCGAGAGTTTCTGCATCAACGGCACCCACGGGGGACAGGTGGGAAATCTGGGGGGAAAAAACGGGGATTTTGGGAAAATTTTGGGGAAAAATCGGGGAAAATTTGAGGAAAAATTCGGGAAATTTCGGGGAGGATTTGCAGGATTTTGGGGGGAATTTTGTGGAAATTTTTGGGACAATTTGGGGAAACAATTGGGGGAAACTTGGAGAATTTGGGGGAAATTTTGGGATTTTAGGGAAAATTTTGGGGGGAATCTTTTTTTTTTTTAATTGAAGGAATTTTGAGGAAATTTCTGGGGAAAATTGGGGCAATTTTGAGGGATTTTAGGGGGGAATATTGGGGGATTTTGGGGGAAATTTGGGGTATTTTGGGACCATTTTTGGGGCTAATTTGGGGGCTGATTTTGGGGCCATTTTTGGGGTGAATTTTGGGGCATTTTGGGGCATTTTTGGGGCCCTTTCTGGGGTTGATTTGGGGATATTTTGGGGCAATTTTTGGGGTAATTTGGGGCCATTTTTGGGGCCCTTTTTGGGATATTTAGGGGTTGATTCTGGAGCATTTTTTGGGTTATTTTGGGGCCGGTTTTGGAGCTGATTTTTGGGGTATTTCAGGGTGGATTTTGGGGTATTTTGGGGCCTTTTCTGGGGTTGATTTTGGGGCTATTTTGTGGGATTTTGGGGCCAATTTGGGGTTAATTTTTGGGCGTTTTTTGGGGCATTTCAGGGCTGCTTTGGGGCCATTTTGGGGTTATTTTGAGGCGAGTTTTGGGGTATTTTGGGCTGGATTTGGGGTGCATTTTGGGGCAGTTCTGGAGTTGATTTGGGGGCTATTTTTGGGTGATTTTGTGGCCATTATTGGGGCAATTTTTAGGATATTTTGGGGGAAATTTGGGACCATTTTGGAGGTGGTTTTGGCTTGATTTTGGGGCCATTTTGGGGTTGATTTTTGGGGCAATTTTGGGGGAATTTTCAGACCATTTTCGGGGGGGTTTTGGCTTTATTTTGGGGCCATTTTGGGTTGATTTTGAGGCCATTTTGGGGTCGATTTTTTGGGGCAATTTTGATGCATTTCAGGGTGGGTTTTTTTGGGGTTTTTTTTTGTATTTTGGGGCCATTTTGGGGTCGATTTTTGGGGCAATTTCGATGCATTTCAGGGTGGGGTTTTTTGGGGTTTTTTTTGTGTTTTGGGGCCATTTTGGGGTTGATTTTGGGGCCATTTTGGGGTCGATTTTTTGGGGCAATTTCGATGCATTTCAGGGTGGGTTTTTTGGGTTTTTTTTTTGTATTTTGGGGCCATTTTGGGGTTGATTTTTGGGCCAATTTCAGTGTATTTCAGGGTGGGTTTTTTTTTTTTTATTTTGGGGAAGGGTTTTGGCTTGATTTTGGGGCCATTTTAGGGTTGATTTTGGGGCCATTTTGGGGTTGATTTTGAGGCCATTTTGGGGTTGATTTTGGGGCCATTTTGGGGTCGATTTTTTGGGGCAATTTTGATGCATTTCAGGGTGGGGTTTTTTGGGTTTTTTTTTGTATTTTGGGGCCATTTTGGGGTCGATTTTTGGGGCAATTTTGATGCATTTCAGGGTGGGGGTTTTTTTGTTTTTTTTTTTTTTCTATTTTGGGGCCATTTTGGAGTTGATTTTGGGACCATTTTGGGGGGGGTTGGGCCAATTTCAGTGTATTTCAGGGTGGTTTTTTTTTTTATTTTGGGGAAGGGTTTTGGCTTGATTTTGGGGCCATTTTGGGGTTGATTTTGGGGCCATTTTGGGGTTGATTTTGGGGCCATTTTGGGGTCGATTTTTGGGGCAATTTTGATGCATTTCAGCGTGGGGTTTTTTTTCTACTTTGGGGCAATTTTGGTGCATTTCAGGGTGGGTTTTTTGCAGGTTTTTTTTCTACTTTCTGTCCATTTTTGGGCATTTCAGGACCCGAACTAACCCCAAATTCATTTTTTCCTGTTTTTTTTTGGGGGGGGTTCCAAAAGGAGGAATTCCTGGGCTCCCCCCTGGCCTGCGAGGAGCGGGGGCTGTGGTTCCTGGTGGGCGTGGCCGCCCCCCCGAGTGGGCGGGGCCCCCCCAGGTTCACCTGGGTGCCCCCCCACGAGCGCTGGATCTCGGGGGTCGCCCGCGAGGTTTTGTTCGCCGAGGCCCCCCCGGACCCCCGGGACGAGGAGAGGGAGGAGCAACAGGGGGACCCCGAGTCCGCCGGGGGGGACCCCGAAACCGGGGGGGACCCCGAAACCGGGGGGGACCCCGAAACCGGGGGGGACCCCGAGTCCGCCGGGGGGGACCCCGAAACCGGGGGGGACCCCGAAACTGGGGGGGACCCCGAAACCGGGGGGGACCCCGACTTTGGGGGGCGGCTGGGGGCACCTAAATGGGTCTGGGAGCTCCGAAATGCCCGGAAATTTGGGGAGCCACGGAAATTCGGGGACCCCTGAAAATTTGGGGAGCCCCGAAAATTTGGGGACCCCCGGACCCACAGGAAACCCAGAAATTTTGGGGAGCCCCGGAAATTTGGGGAGCCCCGAAAATTCGGGGACCCCCGGACCCACAAGAGACCCAGGAAATTTGGGGACCCCCGAAAATTTGGGGACCCCCGGACCCACAGGAAACCCAGGAAATTTGGGGACCCCCGAAAATTCGGGGACCCCTGAAAATTTGGGGATCCCTGGACCCACACGAGACCCTGAAAATTTGGGGAGCCCGGAAAATTTGGGGAGCCCTGAAAATTCGGGGACCCCCGGACCCACAAGAGACCCAGGAAATTTGGGGACCCCCGAAAATTTGGGGACCCCCGGACCCACACGAGACCCAGAAATTTTGGGGACCCCTGAAAATTTGGGGACCCCTGGACCCACACGAGACCCAGAAATTTTGGGGACCCCCGAAAATTTGGGGACCCCTGGAAATTCGGGGACCCCCGAAAATTCGGGGAGCCCGGAAAATTTGGGGAGCCCTGAAAATTCGGGGACCCCCGGACCCACAAGAGACCCAGGAAATTTGGGGACCCCCGAAAATTTGGGGACCCCGGGACCCACAGGAAACCCAGGAAATTTGGGGAGCCCCGGAAATTCGGGGACCCCTGAAAATTTGGGGATCCCTGGACCCACACGAGACCCTGAAAATTTGGGGAGCCCGGAAAATTTGGGGACCCCTGAAAATTTGGGGAGCCCCGGACCCACACGAGACCCAGGAAATTTGGGGACCCCCGAAAATTTGGGGACCCCCGGACCCACACGAGACCCAGGAAATTTGGGGACCCCCGAAAATTTGGGGACCCCTCCCGAAAATTCGGGGACCCCCATGACGTCACCAAGCCCCGAAATTTCAGGGACGCCCCCAAATATTTTGGGGATCCCCCCAGACAATTGGGGGGACCCCGAGGCCTGGGCTGAGCCCGAACCCCCCCGAGACCCCGAAATTGGGGGGAGCCCCCCCTAAAAAACCAATGGGGCCCCCGATTTTGGGGCATTTTTGGGTTTTTTGGGGGATTTTGGGGGGTTTTGGGCAATAAAACGGTGACGGATCTGCAGAGACCCCGCCTCGGGTTTGGGTTTTTTTTTTTGGGGGGGTCCTTAAAGAAATTTGGGGGTGACCACGCTGAAAAAATGGCATTTTGGGGTTTCCCAAAAAAAAAAATCCCAAATTGTCACAAACGGGATCCTCGGGAGGCGCTGAAAAAATGCAAAATCCCCACAGAAAAATCCCAAATCAGCTCAAAAATTAAAAATCTTCCCCCCCAAAAAAAGGGAAAACTGCCCCCCAAAAATAGAAATTTCCAAAAAAAACCGAGTTCCCCCCAAAACCCCCAAAATTTCCCAAAGAACGTCAAAACTGCCCCCAAAAAAATCAAATCCCTCCAGAAAAATAAGCCCAAAATTCCCCCAAAACGCCTTAAAAACAACAACAAAAAAACCCGAAATAAACCCAAATTATCCACGAAAAAAACCCGAAAAAATCCCAAACCATCCCCAAAAATCCCCAAAATCCCCCCCAAAAAAACCCCTAAGCCCCCACTAAAAATTAAAAAATGTCCCAAACCGCCGAAACAAACAAAAAATGCCTCCCAAAAACCAGAAATGTCCCCCGAAAAACCCAAAATCTCCGCAAAAAAAGCCCAAAACGCCGCAAAAATAAAAAAGAACCTAAAAAACAACAAAACTCGCCCCAAAAGACTCCAAAACTTCCCCAAAATAACAAAAAAAAAACCCCCAAAAAATCCCAAAATGCCACAAAAAACCCCATCCCCTCCCCCACCCCCTTTTGTGGCGCTCCGAACACGGAAGCGCCTCGGCCACGCCCCCTTTTCCATCTCCAGCCAATCAGGGCCTCTTCCCGGGTCCCAGCTCAACCAATCAGCGCCGATCCCTACCCGGAAGTCGCTCCCCCAGCCCAGTTCCGGCTCAACCAATCAGCGCCGGTCCCTACCCGGAAGTCGCTCCCCCAACCCGGTGCCGGCTCAGCCAATCAGCGCCGGTCCCTCCCCGGAAGCCCCGCCCCCAGCCCGGTCCTAGCGCCGCCGCCGCTCCCAGGTGAGGATCGGGGACCCCTCCCCCACCCCCACCCCCCCAAAATAAACCCGGGGGGGCCCCCCGAGCCCCTCCCCCCCCCACCCCGAGACTCCGCCCCCAACACCCCAAAAAATTTGGGAAAAAACGCAAAAAAAAAAAAAGAGAAAAAAGGAAAAAAAAAAACCGGAAAAAAAACGGAAAAAAAGGGGGAAATTTCTGCCCCTTCCCACACCCGGAATTGAGAAAATTTTCCCCAAAAAAATTTTAGGGATTCGCCGGCCCCACCCCCACCCCTAAAATATACCCCGCCCCCCCCCAAAAAAAAAAAAAAAAACCCAAAAAACCACAAAAATTGAAATTAAAAAAAAGGCCCCGAAAATGGGGATTTCTCTGCCCCTTCCCCACCCTAAAAAAAATCCCCCAAAATTTGGGATCCCGGCCTCCTCCCCGACCCCTAAAATATCCTCCCAAAACCCCCCCAAAAATTAAAACAAAAAAAACACCCAAAAATACCCCAAAAATTAAAAAAAAAGGGAATTTCCCAGCCCTCCCCCACGTCTAAAAAAACCCCTCCAGGATTCCCAAAATCCCCTCAAAACTCTCCCAAAATTCCCCCAAAAAATTCCCTAAAAATGTGGGAGACACGCCCCTCCCCCACCCCCCCCCCAAAAAAATCCCCGAAAAACAAAAAAATTCCAAAAAAATAAAATGAAATTTTCCCCCAAAATTTCGGGGGAAAAGAGAATTTTCCACCCCTCCCCCACCCCTAAAAAAAAAGCCCCTTCAGAATTCCCAAAATTTCCCCAAAATTCCTCCAAAGTTTGGGGACCCCCGGCCCCTCCCCCACCCCCAAAAAATGCCCCCAAAAATTTAAGAATTAAACCCAAAAAATTCCCCCAAAATTGGGAATTTCCCACCCCTCCCCCACCCCTCAACCCTCCCCCCCCCTCCGGTATCCCCAAAATTCCCCCAAAATTTCCCAAAAAATTCCCTCCAAAATTTGAGATCCCATCCCCTCCCCCATCCCCCCCAAAAAACCCAAACCCCCCCCAAAAAATCCTCCTAAAAATTCCCAAAAAATTCCCCAAAAAGTTCCCCAAAACCGTGAATTTCCCACCCCTCCCCCACCCCAAGAATTCCCCAAATTTTCCCCAAAAATGCCCCAAAATTGGGAAATTTTTTGCCCCTCCCCCCTAACCTGGCGCTGTCCCCCCCCCCCCCCGCAGTTCCCATCATGCACCGGGAGGCTCCGCCCCCTTCCTGAGCTCACCTGGAGGCTCCGCCCACTCCTGGAGGCTCCACCCACATCCAGAGGCTCCGCCCACTCCTGGAGGCTCCACCCACTCCTGGAGGCTCCACCCATATCCAGAGGCTCCGCCCACTCCTGGAGGCTCCACCCACCACCCACTGAGCTCATCTGGAGGCTCCTCCCACCCTTGGCGGCTCCGCCCACATCTGGAGGCTCCACCCCTCTACCCTGAACTCTCCTGGAGGCTCCGCCCACCCCTGATCTCACCTCGAGGCTCCGCCCACCCCTGGAGTTCCCCTGGTGGTGCTGCCATGTCCTGCCCGGCCACGCCCAATGACGTCATCGCTTCCGCTGGTGACGTCACTGCCCACCTGGGGCCTTCCCGTGATGCACCTGATGACGTCATCGCCGCCTCGAGCACACCTGGTGACGTCATCGCCCCCTCAAGCCCCGCCCACAGCTCACCTGGCGACGCCGCCGCCGCTCACCTGGAGCCTTCCCATGATGCACCTGGAGGAGCCCCCAACCTCCCTGGCCACGCCCCTGGCTCACCTGGTGACGTCACCGACCCCTCAAGCTCCGCCCACAACTCACCTGGAGCCGATCCTGGCTCACCTGGTGACGTCACCGACCCCTCCAACCCCTCCCACCGCTCACCTGGTGATGTCACCGCCCCCTCTGACCCCTCCCACCGCTCACCTGGTGATGTCACCGACCCCTCCAACCCCTCCCACCGCTCACCTGGTGACGTCACCGTCCCCTTGACCACACCTGGAGCCAATCCGGACTCACCTGGTGACGTCACCCGCCCCCTCCAACCCACCTGGCCCCGCCCCTGACACACCTGGTGATGTCACCACACCTTCAAGCCCCGCCCACAGCTCACCTGGAGCTGGCTCTAACCCACCCGGTGACGTCACCGCCCCCTCCAACCCCACCCAGGCCACACCTGGCGACGTCACCACCCCCCCTGGCCCCGCCCCCGCCGTCGCAGGCCCCTCCCCCCGGGCGGCCCCGCCCTTCCCGTGCCCCAGCTGCCCCCGCTCGTTCCCCTCCCCCGCCCGGCTGGCCGTGCACCTGCGCTCGCACACAGGTGAGCGCCCCCTCACCTGCCCCCAGTGCCCCAAGGCCTTCGCCGACCCCTCCGTGTTCCGCAAGCACCTGCGGGGCCACGCGGGGCTGCGGCCACACACCTGCGGCACCTGCCCCAAGGCCTACGCCGAGCGCAAGGACCTGCGCAACCACCTGAGGGCGCACACGGGTGAGTGACACACCTGGGGCACACCTGGGGTACACATGGGACATGTTAGACACACCTGGGATACACCTGAGATACACCTGGGGGGGTAAAAACACACCTGGGCACACCTGGGACACACCTGCGGCACCTGCCCCAAGGCCTACGCCGAGCGCAAGGACCTGCGCAACCACCTGAGGGCGCACACGGGTGAGTGACACACCTGGGGCACACCTGGGGCACACCTGGGGACACCTGGGGGGGTAAAAACACACCTGGGATACACCTGGGACATGTTAGACACACCTGGGACACACCTGGGACACACCTGGGACACACCTGGGGGGGTAAAAATACACCTGGGATACACCTGGGACATGTTAGACACACCTGAGATACACCTGGGATACACCTGGGCACACCTGCGGCACCTGCCCCAAGGCCTACGCCGAGCACAAGGACCTGCGCAACCACCTGAGGGCCCACACGGGTGAGTGACACACCTGGGACACACCTGGGCACACCTGGGGGGGTAAAAACACACCTGGGCACACCTGGGATACACCTGGGACATGTTAGACACACCTGAGACACACCTGGGGCACACCTGGGATACACCTGGGGGGGTAAAAACACACCTGGGATACAGCTGGGACATGTTAGATACACCTACGATACACCTGAGATACACCTGGGCACACCTGCGGCACCTGCCCCAAGGCCTACGCCGAGCGCAAGGACCTGCGCAAACACCTGAGGGCGCACACGGGTGAGTGACACACTTGGGGCACACCTGGGATACACCTGGGCACACCTGGGGGGATAAAAACACACCTGGGATACACCTGAGATACACCTGGGACATGTTAGACACACCTGGGATACACCTGGGCACACTTGGGGGGGTAAAAACACACCTGGGATACACCTGGGCACACCTGGGACATGTTAGACACACCTGGGACATGTTAGACACACCTGGGACACACCTGAGACACACTTGGGGATATAGAGACACACCTGGGCATATGGGGACACACCTGGGACACACCTGGGGATATAGGGACACACCTGGGGATATAGGGACACACCTGGACACACTTGGGACACACCTGAGAGTACGGAGACACACACTGGGACACACACTGGGACACACCTGAGACACACCTGAGACACACCTGGGACACGTGGACACACCTGGGGACATAGAGGCACACCTGGGACACAGCTGGGGGTATAGAGACACACCTGGGGATATTGGGGCACACCTGGGACACAGCTGGGGGTATAGAGACACACCTGGGACACACCTGGGGATATAGGGACACACCTGGGACACACCTGGGACACACCTGGGGGTATAGAGACACACCTGGGACACAGCTGGGGGTATAGAGACACACCTGGGACACACCTGGACACACCTGGGGATGTGGAGACACACCTGGACACACCTGAGACACACCTGGGAACACACCTGAGACACACCTGGGGACATAGAGACACACCTGGGGATATTGGGACACAGCTGGGACACAGCTGGGATACAGCTGGGGATATTGGGACACACCTGGGACACAGCTGGGACACAGCTGGGGATATAGGGACACAGCTAGGGATATAGGGACACACCTGGACACACCTGAGACACACCTGGGACACACTTGAGACACAGCTGGGACACACCTGGGGGTATAGAGACACACCTGGGACACACCTGAGGACACACCTGGGCATATGGAGACACACCTGGGACACACCTGGGGATGTGGCGACACACCTGGGGGTATTGGGACACACCTGGGGGTATTGGGACACACCTGGGGGTATTGGGACACACCTGGGACACACCTGGGGATATAGGGACACACCTGGGACACACCTGGGGATATGGAGACACATCTGGGGCACACCTGGACACACCTGGAGATGTGGGGACACACCTGGGACACACCTGGGACACACCTGGGGATATGGAGACACACCTGGTTCACACCTGGGGCACACTTGGGGGTATAGAGACACATCTGGGGCACAGCTGGCCGGTGCCCCAGCCGTGCCGCGCCCGTCCCGGCAGGTGAGCGGCCGTACCTGTGCGCCGAGTGCGGGAAGAGCTTCGGCCGCTCCTCGTCGCTGTCGTGCCACCAGCGCATCCACGCCGCCGCCAAACCCTTCCCGTGCCGCACCTGCGGCAAGGCCTTCACCCAGCTCTCCTCCTACCAGAGCCACCAGAGGGTGCACACAGGTGAGTCCCCGACAGGTGAGGGCTCAGGTGGCCTCTGGGGATTTTTGGGGATTTTTGGGGGATTTTTTTTAATTTTTTCTATGATTTTTTAGGATTTTTTATGATTTTTTAAATCAATTTTTGGGGATATTTTTGGGAATGTTCACACAGGTGAGGGCACACAGGTGAGTCACCCACAGGTGAATTTTGGGATTTTTTTTGGATTTTTTTAACGATTTTTAAATTATTTTTAAATTATTTTTGGGGGGGTTTTATTGAGGTATTTTGGAGGAGTTTTGGGGCCTTCACCCAGCTCTCCTCCTACCAGAGCCACCAGAGGGTGCACACAGGTGAGTCCCCGACAGGTGAGGGCTCAGGTGGCCTCTGGGGATTTTTTGGGGATTTTTTAAAAATTTTTTCTATGATTTTTTAATGATTTTTTAGGATTTTTTATGATTTTTTAAATCAATTTTTGGGGATATTTTTGGGAATGTTCACACAGGTGAGGGCACACAGGTGAGTCACCCACAGGTGAATTTTGGGATTTTTTTTTTTATTTTTTAATGATTTTTAAATTATTTTTGGGGAGGTTTTATTGAGGTATTTTGGAGGAGTTTTGGGGCCTTCACCCAGCTCTCCTCCTACCAGAGCCACCAGAGGGTGCACACAGGTGAGTCCCCGACAGGTGAGGGCTCAGGTGGCCTCTGGGGATTTTTGGGGATTTTTTGGGAATTTTTTTTAATTTTTTCTATGATTTTTTAGGATTTTTTATGATTTTTTAAATCAATTTTTGGGGATATTTTTGGGAATGTTCACACAGGTGAGGGCACACAGGTGAGTCACCCACAGGTGAATTTGGGGATTTTTTTTTTAATTTTTAATGATTTTTAAATTATTTTTGGGGAGGTTTTATTGAGGTATTTTGGAGGAGTTTTGGGGCCTTCACCCAGCTCTCCTCCTACCAGAGCCACCAGAGGGTGCACACAGGTGAGTCCCCGACAGGTGAGGGCTCAGGTGGCCTCTGGGGATTTTTTGGGATTTTTTTGGGATTTTTTTTGAATTTTTTCTATGATTTTTTAATGATTTTTTAGGATTTTTTATGATTTTTTAAATCAATTTTTGGGGATATTTTTGGGAATGTTCACACAGGTGAGGGCACACAGGTGAGTCACCCACAGGTGAATTTTGGATTTTTTTTTTTTTTTTAATGATTTTTAAATTATTTTTGGGGAGGTTTTATTGAGGTATTTTGGAGGAGTTTTGGGGCCTTCACCCAGCTCTCCTCCTACCAGAGCCACCAGAGGGTGCACACAGGTGAGTCCCCGACAGGTGAGGGCTCAGGTGGCCTCTGGGGATTTTTTGGGATTTTTTTGGGATTTTTTTTTGAATTTTTTCTATGATTTTTTAATGATTTTTTAGGATTTTTTATGATTTTTTAAATCAATTTTTGGGGATATTTTTGGGAATGTTCACACAGGTGAGGGCACACAGGTGAGTCACCCACAGGTGAATTTTGGGATTTTTTTTTGGATTTTTTTAACGATTTTTAAATTATTTTTAAATTATTTTTTGGAGGCTTTTATTGAGATATTTTGGAGGAGTTTTGGGGCCTTCACCCAGCTCTCCTCCTACCAGAGCCACCAGAGGGTGCACACAGGTGAGTCCCCGACAGGTGAGGGCTCAGGTGGCCTCTGGGGATTTTTGGGGAATTTTTTTTAATTTTTTCTATGATTTTTTAGGATTTTTTATGATTTTTTAAATCAATTTTTGGGGATATTTTTGGGAATGTTCACACAGGTGAGGGCACACAGGTGAGTCACCCACAGGTGAATTTGGGGATTTTTTGGGGGGGAGTTTTTAAAATTTTTTAATGAATTTTTGTGATTTTTTTGGGGGATTTTTTTAAGGATTTTTTTGGTGATTGTTGGAATTTTGGGGGGATTTATTTATGATTTTTTTTGGATTTTTGGGAATTTTTTTGAATTTTTTTTTATATTTTGGGGATACTTTTGGGGACATTTTAATAAATTTTTTGGTATATTTTTGGGAATTTTTGTGAAATATTTTGAGGATATTTCAGGGATATTTTTAGGAACATTTGGGGAAAATTTTGGGGATATTTTCGGGAATGCTTTTAGGAATTTTTGGGGCTATTTTTTGAATATTTGAGGGGATTTTTTAATGAACATTTGGGAATATTTTTATGAAATTTGGGGGGATATTTATGGAAATTTTGGGAAATATTTTTAGGATTTTTTGGGGAACGCTTTCAGGATATTTTTTGGGGCTATTTTTTGGAGTGTTTTTGGGAATATTCCAAGAACCTGAGGGATATTTTTGGGGATATTTTTTTTGGAGCGTTTTGGGGAATATTCCAAGAACCTGAGGGATATTTTTGGGGCTATTTTTTGGAGTGTTTTGGGGAATATTTCAAGAACCTGAGGGATATTTTTGGGGCTATTTTTTGGAGTGTTTTGGGGAATATTTTAAGAACCTGAGAGATATTTTTGGGGCTATTTCTTGCCCTCAGAACCCCCTCACCCTTCCCTTCCCCACAGGTGAGCGCCCCTACCTGTGCCCCCAGTGCGGCCGCACCTTCGGCGACCCCTCGAGCTTCCGGCGGCACCAGCGGGCGCACCAGGGCGTGAAGCCGTACGGCTGCGGCGACTGCGGCAAGGCCTTCCGGCAGCCGGCCGACCTGGCCGTGCACCGGCGCACCCACACCGGCGAGCGGCCCTGGCGCTGCGGCGACTGCGGCAAGGCCTTCGTGGCCTCCTGGGACCTCAAGCGGCACCGCCTGACGCACTCGGCCGAGCGGCCCTGGCGCTGCGGCGACTGCGGGAAGGGGTTCGGGGAGAGGGCGGCGCTGGGCAAGCACCGCCGGACGCACTCCGGGGAGAGGCCGTTCGCCTGCGGGAGGTGCGGGAAGGGCTTCGGGGGCGTGTCGGGGTTGAGGAAGCACGAGAGGACGCATGGGAGGGAGGAGGGGGGTGGAGGTGAGGGGGGCAATATGGCCGATGGCAATATGGCGGGTGTTGGGGGGAGCAATATGGCTGACGGCAATATGGCGGGTGTTGGGGGCAGCAATATGGCCGACGGCAATATGGTGGGTGTTGGGGGCAGCAATATGGCTGACAATAATATGGCGGGTGTTGGGGGCAGCAATATGGCCGACGGTAATATGGCGGGTGTTGGGGGGAACAATATGGCCGCCGGCACCAATATGGCGAATGCCAATATGGCTGCCATTGGGGGAAGCAATATGGCTGACACCAATATGGATGCCATTGAGAAAAACAATATGGCTGACACCAATATGGCTGCCATTGAGAAAAGCAATATGGCCGACACCAATATGGCGGCTGTTGGGGGGAGCAATATGGCCGCTGGCACCAGTATGGCTGCCATTGAGAAAAACAATATGGCTGCCGGTAACAATATGGCTGCCGTTGGGGGAAACAATATGGCCACCAGCACCAATATGGCCGATGCCAATATGGCTGCCATTGAGAAAAACAATATGGCTGACAGCAAAATGGCCGCCATTGGTGGAAACAATATGGCCGCCTCCAATATGGCCGCCACTGGGGAGAACAAAATGGCCGCCATTCTGGAGGACAAAATGGCCGACGCAATTATGGCCGCCACCAACATGGCCGCCATGTTGGAAAACAAAATGGCCGAAACCAACATGGCCGCCGGAAACAACATGGCTGCCGAATCCAAGATGGCGTCGGGGCCCCGCCCCTTTTCCTGCCCCCTCTGTGGGCGGAGCTTTGCCTCGGGGGCGGGGCTAAGGCGGGCACCAGCGACGTCACAGCCCTGCCCCTTCCAGCACGGTGTAGGCCCCGCCCCCAACGCGGGGTGGGCGGGGTTTGTGCTGAGGTGGGTTGGGGTTTGTTTGTGGGCGTGGTCTGTGTTGGCCACGCCCCCTTTGTGGGGTCAATAAAGGCTGAGGCAGCAATGGCGGCTGAGGCTGTATTTGGGGGGCAGGGGGACCCAAAATTCACAAAAACGGCCCCAAAAATGGCCCCAAAATTCCCAAATAACCCAAAAAAAACCCCTAAAACTTTAAAATACCCCAAAAAATCCCCGAAATTCATCAAAATTCCCAAAATTGTGTAAAAATAGCTCCAAAAATCCCAAAATTCTGCTCGGGACCTCCCAAAATTTCCCCTGGCGAAAAATCCCCAAAATTTCCACCAAAATTCCCCAAATCCTCCCAAGCCTCCCCCAAAAAAATCCCAAAATCCACCCAAAAAAATCCCAAAATCAACCTTGGGACCCCCCAAAATCCCCCAAAAAGCCCTGGGAGAATTTCTAGGGGAGGGCGTGGCTATGTAAATGAGGATTATTGACACTAATAAACCTATTCTAAAGGAAGGCGTGGTTATGCAAATAAGCACCTTTAATACCAATATACCGTTTCTAAAGGAAGGCGTGGTTATGCAAATCATCTCCTTAACACATATAGTTCCTAAAGGAGGCGTGGCCATGCAAATCACCGCATTCAACACATAATATCGGCTTGTAGATTGAAGGGGCGTGGCTATGTAAATAATCCCCTTTAACACCAATATATCGTTTCTAAATGGAGGCGTGGCTATGCAAATCAGGCCTATTTACACCAACGCATCGCTTTTATATGTGGGCACCGCTATCGATGTTCCTAACTGGAGAGGCGTGGCTATGCAAATCACCATCATTCCCACCGCTATGTTCCTAACCGGAGAGGCGTGGCTATGCAAATCACCCTCATCACCACCGCTATCTATGTTCCTAACCGGAGAGGCGTGGCTATGCAAATCACCATCATTCCCACCGCTATGTTCCTAACCGGGGAGGCGTGGCTATGCAAATCACCCTCATCACCACCGCTATGTTGCTAACCGGGGAGGCGTGGCTATGCAAATCATTTCCTTACCCACACTGCCCCGCGCCGCGCCGGAAGCAGAACGGCCGTGAGGGGAAAGGAGGCGGAAGCAGAACCCCTAAAATGGCGGCGCTGGGGCTGCGAGCCCCGGGGCTGCTCCCGCCGCTCCGGGCCCCTCTGCGGGGCTGCCTCGGCCCGTGCCGGCTCCCGGGGAGCCCCGGGGCGGTTCCGGTCTCGGTTCCGGTGCCGGTTCCGGTTCCGGTGCGGGCCATGGCCGGGCACAACCGCTGGTCCAAGGTGCGCAACGTGAAGGGGCCGCGGGACGCGGAGCGGAGCCGCCTCTTGGAGAAAATGGCGCGGATGCTGCGGGCGGCCGCCAGAGGTGGCGCGATAGTGTCGCGATATGGGGGGAGGGGGGTGCGGGGGATGGGGGGTGAGTGGGACACGGGGGTGTCGCGATATGGGGGTGGGGGGGACTGAGGAAGGGCGTGTGGGAGGAGGCGGGGGTGTCGCGATAGAGGAGGAGGAGGGGGTAGGGGGGTAGGGAGGTGCCGCGATAAAGGACGGGAAGTGGGTGGGGGGGCATGGGGGTATCGCGATAGGGGATTGGGGTGGGGGGTGTCGTAATGGGGAGAGTGTCGCGATAGAGGAGGGGAGGGGTGGGGGAGGACATGGGGGTGTCGCGATACGGTGCGGGGGGGTGTCATGATGAGGGGGAGTGTCGCGATAGAGGGGAGGAGGGGGAAGGGGGTGGGGGGGCACGGGGGTATTGCGATATAGATGGAGAAGGGGGTGATGGGACACTGGGATATCTCGATATCGGGATATGGGGACATTGGGATATTAAAATATCGCGATACGGGGATATCAGGACATTGGGATATTGCAATACTGGGATATCAGGACACTGGGATATGGGGACGTTGGGCTATCGGGATATCGCGATACGGGGCTGTTGGGACATTGGGCTATTGCGATATGGGGCTATGGGGACACGGGGCTATTGCGATATCACGATATATCACGATATCGGGACACGGGCTGTGGCGCTATGGCGACATATCGCGATACGGGTTGTTGTGAGCTCAAGCTACGATAATATCGCGATGTGTCGCAGTGTACCACGATATATCGCGATATGGGGCTACGGGGACGTCGGTCTATCGTGACCTATCGCGATATCTCCCGACAGAGGGGGGCCCGGATCCGTCGCTGAACCCCGGCCTGGCGGCGGTGGTGGCGCAGTGCCGGACACTGAACGTGCCCAAAGCCACCATCGAGGGGGCCCTGCGGTCAGTGAGGGTGAGTGACCACTGAGTGACCACTGAGTGACCACTGAGTGACCAATGAGTGACCGCTGAGTGACCACTGAGTGACCCTGAGTGACCCTGAGTGACCACTGAGTGACCGCTGAGTGACCACTGAGTGACCCTGAGTGACCATAGAGTGACCAATGGGTGACCAATGAGTGACCCCGAGTGACCACTGAGTGACCACTGAGTGACCAATGAGTGACTCTGAGTGACCAATGAGTGACCAATGACCAATGAGTGACCCCGAGTGACCACTGAGTGACCATAGAGTGACCAATGAGTGACTCTGAGTGACCAATGAGTGACCAATGACCAATGAGTGACCCCGAGTGACCACTGAGTGACCATGAGTGACCACTGAGTGACCACAGAGTGACCAATGAGTGACCACAGTGACCAATGAGTGACCATAGAGTGACCCTGAGTGACACTGAGTGACCACTGAGTGACCACTGAGTGACCTTGAGTGACCATTGAGTGACCAAGGAGTGACCCCTGAATGACCAATGAGTGACCATAAGTGACCCCTGGCCATCTTAGTGACCACTGAGTGACCACTGAGTGACCCCAGACCATCCTAGTGACCACTGCGTGACCACTGAGTAACCAGTGACCATTCTAGTGACCACTGAGTGACCCCTGACCATCCTAGTGACCACTGAGTGACCACTGAGTGACCGCTGGCCCCTCTCTCCGGCCACAGGAGCGTCCGGCCGGGGGGTCACTGACCACTGAGTGACCCCTGAGTGACCGCTGGCCCCTCTCTCCGGCCACAGGAGCGTCCGGCCGGGGGGTCAATGACCACTGACCACTGAGTGACCACTGGCCCCTCTCTCCGGCCACAGGAGCGTCCGGCCGGGGGGTCGCAGCTGCTGCTGACCGCCCGGGGGCCCGGGGGGGTCACTCGTGCTGCTGGACGTCCGAACCGACAACGTCCGGCGCAGCCAGGCCGAGCTGCGGACACTGCTGCAACGCCACGGGTCAGTGCTGGGTGACCGTGAGTGACCAATGGGTGACCAATGGGTGACCAATGAGTGACCATGAGTGAGCAATGGGTGACCATGAGTGACCAATGAGTGACCAATGGGTGACCAATGAGTGACCATGAGTGAGCAATGGGTGACCATGAGTGACCAATGGGTGATCAATGAGTGACCGCTGGGTGACCAATGAGTGACCACTGGGTGACCAATGAGTGACCGCTGAGTGACCCTGAGTGACCATGAGTGACCAATGAGTGACCCCTGTGTGACCAATGAGTGACCACTGGGTGACCAATGGGTGACCCCTGAGTGACCAATGAGTGACCACTGAGTGACCATGAGTGACCACAGAGTGACCCTGAGTGACCAATGAATGACCCCTGAGTGACCACTGTGTGATCAATGAGTGACCAATGAGTGACCCCTGAGTGACCCTCACTGACCATTGTCCCCCTGTGGTCACTCAGGGCCGTGCTGACCCCTGAATGACCCCTGAGTGACCCTCACTGACCATTGTCCCCCTGTGGTCACTCAGGGCCGTGCTGACCCCTGAATGACCCTCACTGACCCCTGAGTGACCCTCACTGACCACTGTCCCCCTGTGGTCACTCAGGGCCGCGCTGACCCCTCACTGACCCCTGAGTGACCCCCACTGATCCGTTGTCCCCCTGTGGTCACTCAGGGCCGCGCTGACCCCTGAGTGACTGAGTGACCCCTGAGTGACCCCACTGACCATTGTCCCCCTGTGGTCACTCAGGGCCGCGCTGACCATTGAGTGACCCTCACTGACCCCTGAGTGACCCTCACTGACCATTGATCCCCTGTGGTCACTCTCAGAGCCACGCTGACCCCTGAGTGACCCCTGAGTGACCCTCACTGACCATTGTCCCCCTGTGGTCACTCAGGGCCGCGCTGACCCCTGATGTCCATCACGCCTTCGAGGCCGTGGGCGTGGTCCGAGTGTCCGGCCGGACGCTGGGCCTGGAGGCCGCGCTGGACGTGGCCGCAGTGGCCGGAGCCCAGGACGTGGCCGAGGACGAGGACGAGCTCAAGGTGGGTCCCGCTGACCGCTGCAGTGGTCACTCTGTGGTCACTCTGTGGTCACTCGGTGGTCACTGCTTGAGTGTCCCCCTGGTGGTCATCGGTCACTTCTGGGACCGGACAGTGACCGGTGACCACCTTGATGACCCCTTGACCACCCAACTGACCATTGACCACCGTGAATGACCACTGACCACTCCCAATGACCACTGACCATCCCCACTGACCATTGGTCACTCCTTGACCACTCCCAATGACCCCTTGACCACCCTGAATGACCACTGACCACCCCAATGACCCCTTGACCACTCCCATCGACCACTGACCATTGGTCACTCCTTGACCACCCCCACTGACCCCTTGACCACCTCGATGACCACTGACCACTCCTTGACCCCTCCCTGACCCCTTGACCACCTCGATGACCACTGACCGCTCCTTGACCATCCCCACTGACCATTGGTCACTTCTTGACCATTCCCAATGACCACTGACCACTCCCACTGACCCCTTGACCCCTCCTCTGGCCCTCTGACCGCTCACTGACCCCTTGACCCCTCCCTGACCCCTTGACCCTTCACTGACCACCCCCACTGACCCTTGACCACTCCCGCTGACCACTGACCATTGGTCACCCCTTGACCACCTCGATGACCACTGACCACTCCTTGACCATCCCCACTGACCATTGGTCACTTCTTGACCACTCCCATTGACCACTGACCACTCCCACTGACCCCTTGACCCCTTCCTGACCCCTTGACCCCTCCCTGACCCCTTGACCCCTCCCTGACCTCTTGACCCTCCCAATGACCCCTTGACCCTTCACTGACCACCCCCACTGACCCCTTGACCACTCCCATCGACCACTGACCATTGGTCACTCCTTGACCACCTTGATGACCACTGACCACTCCTTGACCATCCCCACTGACCATTGGTCACTCCTTGACCACCCCCACTGACCCCTTGACCACCTTGATGACCACTGACCACTCCCATTGACCGCTGACCACTCCCGCTGACCACTGACCACTCCCACTGACCCCTCACTGACCACTGACCACCCTGAATGACCACTGACCACCCCAATGACCCCTCACTGACCCCTTGACCACCCCAATGACCCCCTGACCACCCCGATGACCATTGGTCACTTCTTGACCACTCCCAATGACCACTGACCCCTCCCACTGACCCCTTGACCCTCTGAATGACCCCTTGACCCTTCACTGATTACTCCCACTGACCCCTTGACCCCTCCATGACCCCTCTGTGACCCCTCCGTGACCTTTGCCCCCCCGCCCGCAGTTCCTGTGCGCCCCCTCGGCCCTGGGCAGTGTCCGGCAGCACCTGGTGGCCGCAGGGCTCCGGCCGATTTCGGCCACCCTGGAGTTCCGGCCGCGGTCAGCGCTGGCCCTGCCGGACGGTCCGAGGGCCGCGGCCGAGCGGCTGCTCCGGGCTCTGGCCGAGTGGCCGGACGCCGTCCGCATCGTCCACAACATCCAGGACGTCCCGGCGGTCACTCGGGGCGGTCACTCGGCTCCGGCCACAACGCGGGACCATCAATAAAGGTGTGGTCAAACGGTCAGCGGGGTGGCCAGTGGTCATTCGGGGTGGTCAGGGGGTCAGCGGGGTGGTCAAGGGGTCAGTGGGAGTGGTCAGATGGTCAGTGGGGTGGTCAAGGGGTCAGTGGGGTGGTCAAGGGGTCAGTGGGAGTGGTCAGATGGTCAGTGGGGTGGTCAAGGGGTCAGTGGGGTGGTCAAGGGGTCAGTGGGAGTGGTCAGTGGTCATTGGGAGTGGTCAAGGGGTCAGTGGGGCGGTCAAGGGGTCAGTGGGAGTGGTCAAGGGGTCAGTGGGAGTGGTCAGTGGTCATTGGGGTGGTCAGTGGTCATTGGGGTGGTCAAGGGGTCATTCGGGGTGGTCAGTGGTCATTTGGGGTGGTCAGGGGGTCAGTGGGAGTGGTCAAGGGGTCAGTGGGGTGGCCAGTGGTCATTCGGGGTGGTCAGTGGTCATTGGGGTGGTCAGTGGTCATTCGGGTGGTCAGTGGTCATTCGGGGTGGTCAAGGGGTCAGTGGGAGTGGTCAGTGGTCATTCAGGGTGGTCAGGGGGTCAGTGGGGTGGTCAGGGGGTCAGCGGGGTGGTCAGTGGTCATTCGGGGTGGTCAGTGGTCATTCGGGGTGGTCAAAGGGTCACTGGAGTGGTCAGTGTCCATTGGGAGTGGTCAGTGTCCATTGGGAGTGGTCAGTGGTCAGTGGGGTGGTCAAGGGGTCAGCGGGAGTGGTCAGTGGTCATTCAGGGTGGTCAGTGGTCATTGGGAGTGGTCAAGGGGTCAGTGGGAGTAGTCAAGAAGTGACCAGTGGTCGTTGGGGTGGTCAGTGGTCACTCAGAGTGGACAAAGGGTGGTCAGTGGCCATTGGGGGTCATTAGTGGTCACTCAGGGTGGTCAGTGGTCATTCGGGGTGGTCAGTGGTCACTCAGGGCGGTCACTCGGCTCTGGCCATGCCGCACGATGGACAATAAAGGTGTGAGACGTGGTCAAGTGGTCATTTGGAGTGGTCAGTGGTCACTCAGGGTGGTCAGTGAGGGGACCAGGGGGTCTTTGGGGTGGTCAAGTGGTCAGTGGGAGTGGTCAAGAAGCAGCCAAGGGTCATTGGGTGGTCAGTGGGGGTGGTCAGTGCCCATTGGTCATCCTGGTGGTCACTCGGTCATCGGGGTGGTCAGTGGTGTGGTCAGTGCCCATTGGTCATCCCAGTGGTCACTCAGTCATCAGGCTGGTCAGTGGTCATTGGTCATCGTGGTGGCCATTGGTCATCATGGTGGTCACTCGGTCATCGGGGTGGTCAGTGGCCATTGGTCATCGTGGTGGTCCAGCGGTCACTGGGGTGGTCACTGGTGTGGTCAGTGCCCATTGGTCATCCCGGTGGTCACTCGGTCACTGGGGTGGTCAGTGCCCATTGGTCATTGTGGTGGTCACTCAGTCACTGGTGTGGTCATCGTGGTGGTCATTGGGCTGGTCAGTGCCCATTGGTCACCCCGGCGGTCACTCGGTCATTGGGCTGGTCAGTGCCCATTGGTCATCCGGGTGGTCACTCGGTCATCGGTGGGGTCAGTGGGAATGGTCAGTGCCCATTGGTCATCGTGGTGGTCACTCGGTCACTGGGGTGGTCACTGGTGTGGTCAGTGCCCATTGGTCACCCCGGTGGTCACTCGGTCATCGTGGTGGTCAGTGCCCATTGGTCATCGGGGTGGTCAGTGCCCATTGGTCACTCTGGTGGTCACTCACTCACGCCACCCCCCAATCACACCCACACCTCCTCGTGGAGTGCCCAAAGCCCCGCGGCCGCTCCGGCCAGGGGTCATTTATTGGTGGTCACTCGTCCGAGCCGGCCGGGCTGCCCAGGAAGAGGCCGGAGTAGCCAAAGGCCGGAGCGGAGCCTTCGTCCTCCTCCTCCTCCTCCTCCTCGTCCTCCTCCTCCTCCTCGTCCTCCTCA